GATCAATAAAGGTCACTCAATGCATGTTTTCTTATGGAACTCATTAATTCTGAATAGATTAAAAAATAAGACCACAAATGCATATTTTCTAGTATGCCTCATTCATTTATTAGTGACTAAGCTTCTGTGTATCAGATACTATTATGAATATGAGTTTTGTTTTTCAAACTCAAGCTGTTCATATACTGTCCTTATCTTGCCTCATATTGTTTGCCATGGGCTCGAAAGTGGTAACACAGAACATCCTCCTATAACTCCACCTTGTTTTATACGCTTCCATGCAGTCTTTAGGAATTTTGAGGCAGTGCTAAAAGGTTTGAATTTAATTTCAAGAATGTTGCATGCTTAGAAGTGCTCTGTTTCATTCAGTCTCTTAGGGAATTGTGATTCCTAGAGTTTCATGACACAATTCATTGAAAAATCAGTTACTTGGTTGGCCAGCATAACAAAGTAACACAGGCTGGATGGCTGATAAACAGCAGAAACATTTCTTACAGTTCCAAAGGCTGGGTCTGAGATCAGGGTGCCACTATGATTGGGTTCTGGTAAAGTCTTCTGACTTCTGTTAACTTTTCATGGAAGAAAGAGCTCTCTAGGGTGCCTTTTATAAGGGCTCTAATGCCACTGATGAGGGTGCTACCTTTTTTATATAATCGCCTCCCAAAAGGCCTGTCTCCTAATGCCACCACCTTGGAGGTTAGGATTTCATCAGAGGAATTTTGGGTGGAATGGAATATAAACATTTCAGTTCATTACATCAAATGTCAAGCTAGTATTTAATACCTGTTGGGCTCTGAAAGAAACAAAAAGAACTTACTCTGAAAGGTTAAGTAGGGAAAAGGGTAAAATGACAGTTAAATAATGTAATGTTTGATGCATTGGTTGAGAAGTGGGGGTGGGAAAATGGAGAAAGGAACCATGAGAGGAACTTTCAAAAAAATAACTAGATTTAAGTACATGAATATAAGAGGTATCTGTTAGGGACTGTAACATTTTTTCAAGACTTAGAGAAAAGGTCAGTTTAGAATTGACTCTCAGATTTGTAAGCAAAAGAAAAATAATTAAAATCTCAAGTGGAAAGCTAAGTACATTTGAACCAGGAAAAGATCAAGCAGTATCATCTTAGTTTGTGATGGATCTGGAGGCATCAAGCCCTGTATCCTAGGCGAAGCTGGAAAGGTAGGCTGATGGATACCTTTGCTGTGTTCTGACACAGGAGTTTTGGGAGGTGTGGAAGTTAAGCCTTCCACCTGCTTGCTCTTGCTTCCTAGTAAGAAAGTGGCTGCCTTGCCTTTACCATAATTACCAAAGTCTTGCCAGGTATTTAGCTCAGTAATGCCACCGCCTACCTCACAAGCTCAAGGTCCCAAGTTCGATCACTGGTTTAAAAAAAAAATTACCAAGGTCTTGATTCTACCATATCCAGAGGTACATCTAATGTCTGGCCCTATGAGAAGCTTCTCAGATGTATTGCTTTTTGTCGCAGGAAGATGTAAATGATCCAAATTCTATTGTTGATAGAGACAAAATGAAGGCAGAGCAGGCTAACAGGGCAATACTTTTGTGCAGCATAACATAGGGCCAGCCTTTTTACTATTTTCAATCCTAGGGGTTTAAGATGACAGGCAATGAGATGCAGTTAGAAACTGACAGCAACGAATAAAAAGAGTAGGTCATCCCAGCCCAAGAACCACATTCTTTGCTAAGGTAACTGTCTTCCCTGGCATGCAGTGGGGAGGAGAGAAAAGGAAGTGACTATATTAACAGTTCACATTATCTATATTCTGCACATGACCCAGATATTGGGCTCCCCTCCTACCAAGGTTACTTCCAGTGTGCTCTGCTACCTCATTCACCAGGAATCCCTAGAACTCTCAGCGTCTGATGGAAGGCCATGATCTTACAAGGAGACATAAGCAGTAGTTCCTTTTTTTGTCCTGTCTTACTAACATCACTGTGCCAACCTGTGTCATACTTGAAGGGGGTTCATGTTAAAGTGACAACTTGCAATTGCGTGTTGGACTCTCAGGCTGCCCTTCTCCAGGAATTTCTCACTCTTTTCCTCTAATGCACTCTGCCTAAATGCAGCCTCCTCTTATCACCATCCCTAACCATTTTTATGTATTTTCTTCCATAAAGCTTCACCCATAGGCATCTTGTTATCTTTCAGGCAGCTTATATTTTATATATATATTAAAATAATTATGAGGGGCTTGGGATTTAGCTCAGTGGTTCCACTATCTGCCTTGCAAGCACAAGGACCCGAGTTTGATCCCTGGTACCAAAGTAATAATAATAGTAATAATAATATATGACCATCATGAGCCCATAATGGTAGTAACTGGACAGTTAAAAAAACCAACTTGCCTAGATTCTTTAGGCTGAAATTGCAATTAACTGGATGACTGCTTCAATTCTGGTCTACTTTGTAAAATATGTAGTGTGACTTACGCTGAGGTGATACTTACTAATCAAGCATGTGCAAAGAAAGCTCCACAAGGGCAGCTTCTCTTGTGGCTGTATGCCTAAGAGCACCTGGGACACAGAAGGTGTTTAGTAAGTATTTGCAGAATGCAAAATGGATGAGAAAGGGGGAAAGTGTAGCTACAAAGCGCAGAGGACCTTGAGATATGTGGGAAAAAAGTCTTCCAGTTTAGGTGAAATACTGAACATACAGATTTCTGTGGGTGTAGACAAGCTTGTGTGAGTCGTGTAAGTAACTGACAAAAATTTATGGCTGCCTTACATTCAAATTTCAAGTCCTTAAAGTCTTATAAAATCTACCATGCTGTGAATTTTTTTACTTAACTTTCCTGCTCCTCCTGAATATGAGAGATGTTATCAACCCATGATAAACTGTAATTTAGTCCTTATTATGCATGGACTTCACATCTGCAAGTCGGTCTTACTGCTGACATTTATTCATAACTCACTTGTGATCATTCTCAGACTACACAAAGATGTGCATGTTCTTGGCTGAAGTGGAAAGAGACGACACTCGGTTTTACCTCTTCTACTGTGAACAAGTGCCCTTTTTCAGTCTATAAAGTGACAACTTTTTGCTTTTTAAATTGTTTATTGGTACATTTAGATGTTCATAATGATCACATTCATCATACAGAATTTGTACCTGTTCACATTGTATCTTCATTCTTTTCCCATTTACCTCCCCGCTTTCAACCCCTCTTCCCCCCCATTTACAAAAGCTTTGTTTTCATTTTTCCTTCTTTGCTCATTTTTCCTTCCTTTGCTCCTCTCCATCCTTAGTTCCTCTTCCCATAAGAATATTTTCTTCCTATTTCACAGTACCTATTATACATTTTGGTCTTTATACTTTCAATTTCTCATACCAACAATATTTACACAAATGTGTCGGTTACTGCATCCATTTACCTAGAAATGTCTCAAGTTTATCCTTTATGGCAGAGTAGTACTCCACTGTATAAAAAACCCACATCTTCTTTATCCATTCATCAGTTGGTGGGCCTTTGGGCTACTTCCAAGATTTAGCTATAACAACTTTTGCACTATTATTTTTTGTGGTAATTTTGTTGTTTAACATGGCCCCAAGCATGGAACTGAAGTGCAGTCTAGGATTCCTAAGCTCAAGAAAGCTAACATCTGCCTTGTGGAGAAAATGTGTAGAAAAGCTTCCTTGAATTCAATGTTAATCAAATAGTGTCTTTAAATAGAGACACATAAAAATAAGGATTATGAGCCAAAGATCAAAACTAGACCTATATCTCTCACTATGAATTAAACTGAAATGGATCAAGGATCTAAATATTAAAACAGAAACACTAAACCTGCTGAAATAGAGGTTAAGTAGAACCCTCGAAGACACTGGCATAGGAAAAGACTGAACAAAACCTCAGTAACAAGGGAGCTAGCATAATCAATAACTGGGATCTCATTAAAAGCTTTTGCAGAGCACGAGAAACCCTTCAAAAGAGTGAAAAGACAACTTCACAATGTGAGAAAAAATTTTCACCAGCTGTTCCTCAAAGGTCTACTATCTAGAATACGTAAAGAACTTAAAAATATCAGAACTTCCAAATTTAAAGACCCAATCCAAAAATGGGCATCTGAAATGAACAGAAATTTCTCAAAGTAGAAACTGCAAATAAACATATGAAAAATGTTCATCATCACTTGTCTTCCAAGATATGCAGATGTAAACAACACTGACATTCCATTTCACTCCAGAAAGAATGGAAGCTATCAAGAAATCAACCAGTATCAAATGCTGGTGGGGCTTTGGGGAAAAAGGAACCCCTTCCTTCTCCATTGTTAGTGGGAGTGTAGACTGGTGCAACCACTGTGAAAATCAGTATGGAGATACCGCAAAAAACTAGGATTAGAGGTCCTATTTGACCCAGCTATACTCCTGCTGGGTATCTTCCCAAAACAATTAAAAGAATCATAGCACAGTGATATATTCATACCCATTTTTATAGCAGCACAGTTTGTAATAGTTTTATCATGGAAATAGCCCAAATGCCCATCAACCGGTAACTGGATAAAGATTTTTAATAAAATGAAGTACTACTCAGCCATAAAGAATGATACACTAGGGACATTTATAGTTAAATGAGGGTACACATTGAGGCCATACTCTTAAGTGAAATATATAGGACACACATGTGCAAATACCAAATAGTTTCTCTGGTGTGAGAAACTGAAAGTGTAAATGAGGACCAAAATGTATAATAGACAGTGTGAAATAGAAAGAAAAGTTCCAAAGAG